TATATATATATATATATATATTCCCTAAATAGAAATCTTAATTTGGAGAATGAAACTCTTATTCTCTTAATCAGATGTTGTCAACATTTTCTCTTGCTTGGAACTGTGGGAGAAACATTTCACACACTATCACCACAATTAACCAACCAATATTGTTGTCAATTATTCCAAACTATCATTTTTCTGTTTTTACTTGAATACTTATTTTTAATTTCTTATTCATTTCAATCTTAAAAATAACTTTAAACCACAATTTAAAACATTTATTATCAATTCAAAATATGACTTATTATGAATTTTAGTGATATATTTTTTTTATAAATTTAGTTTTTTTTTTAATTATAACCATGAACAAACAATATCTTTTTTAATAGGACCGTTAAAATACTAATTTTGTATATATTATGAAAAATTATTTGTTATAAGAGATTAACTTCTTTAATAAATCCTCCATTTTTTTTAAAAGATTACTCATAAGTTTTCTGTTCATGAATATTATGATTTTTAAAAAATAAAAAGATACAAATTATATTTAGAATAAAGTTGAAGATAATTGAGAAGCAAGTTATGGAGATTGTAATAAGCAAAAACTTGCAATAGAAGTTAGGTTTGTTTGATTGGAACATAGAGAATCACAGAAGGCAATAAAAGCCAAAAGAAAAATATGGAAGGCACGATGGCAAAGTAGTAAATAATTAAGAAATAATGTCCCTTTGTGAAAAAGTAGGAGCCAATGGGCAATGGCTGTCATCTTAGTTCTCATTTCGCGCCAAGCCATATAATATAACTCTCCCTTTTACACTCACTTTCAATTTGCATTTACTATAGAATTCACCTATGATTTTTAATATATACTCAATTAAGAAAAACGTTGGTTATTCTGATATTACAGTTAATCCTCAAATTTTAAAATTTTGATTTTGAGTTTTGAATTTGATAAAAAAATAATATTAAAAAGATAATTTTGAGAGATTGATTTTCAATAAAATTGATAAATATTTTTCTCAATATTATGATAAAAATATTTAAAAATTATGATTTATATAAAATTTAAAATATTTATTATAAAAGTTATTAATCTTATAATTTATATAAATTGTGATCAAATCATTTACTCCATCTTTATATTGTCATTAAACTCTTGATATATTAAGGTGCATGTGTATATAATAAGGTTAAGTAAAATACTTAAATTGTTAAGTAACTTTTTTATTTTTTATATTGTCAATAAAGGATAATGTAAATAAAATAATATCAAATTAATTAAAATGTATCTTAATACTACTATTTATTTTAATAAATTTTTATTAATTATTTCAATAAGATGGTGATAATGGTTATAATTATAATAATAGTGATGGTTGCATAATATTGATATAATAACATTAACAACAATGATAGTGGAATAGTAATAATAATGTAGACAATGATAAGGAGTAAGGTAGTAATAAGTAGAGCTGTCAAAGTGGGCTCTAGCCCGTGGGTCAACCCGGCCCACCTTGAAATCGGGCCGGGCTGGGCCAAAAAAATGAAAAAATTTATGATGGGTCAAAAAATGTGACCTGGCTCACTTTCGACCCGGCCCACCTGACCTACTTACCAACCCATCCCCTAAACCCACTAACAATCAATTAACAACTCACTTAACTATTTATTATTATATATGCATTATTTTAATAAGATATCATTTTTTATATAGATAAAGATAAAA